GGACCTCGGCCCTGCGGCCCCTGTGGCTGGGGACAGCCCCCCTGCTGTGTAGGGCTGGAGGGACCCAGTTATGGCCTCCTCGGGCCTGTTCACCATGCAGCTGACACACTTTTCAACAGTTCTGTTTCTATTTGTTGGGTTGGGGTTTCAACTCGCTCATCCATCAAACATATCCCCCAAAGACAGACAAAGTAGGTCCGGGTTTTACGTGCCTGCTCCCCCTCCACCGGGTCTTTACAGGACCTGGAGCCCACACCACCTGCGAGCGACACCATCCAGGGCAAGGCCGCGCCCCAAGCTTCGCAAACCTCCCCCCCTGACGCCAGCGCAGGGCCTGTCACAGCCAGGCGGAGGGTGCAGCGAGGCCGGGTGGAGTGAGGACACAGACACCTTTGGGGGCTCCTGGGCCACATGGGACGCTGGCTGTGCAGACAAACAGGTGGGGTTAGAGCCTCCGGCCTCTGGAAGGGCCCAGGGTGTTATTTTTTATATTTTATTTTTTCAAATCCTCACCTGACGATACTTTTTTCCACTGAGAGAGAGTGGAAGGGAGGCAGGGGGAGAGACAGAGAGAGAAACGTCGATGTGAGAGACACATGGGTTGGTTGCCTCCTCCTCTCTCCTTGGCCTCAGAGAAAAAGAACACCTTCCGGCCCCCCAGGGTCTGGCCCCTTCCCTGAGGCAGCCTCCTGCTTCCTTCTGCCGCCTACAGTCGCCTCTGCCCTGTCACCTGCAGCCTCCAGCCCACACTCCGGCCCAGGTAGCCTCTCGTTAGCGCTGTGGCATCTGCCTTCCACTCCCCGCACAGCGGCAGGGTCAGAGACAGGAGTTAGAAAGGAGACTGGAGCCCGGCCAGCAAGGCCCAGTGGTCGAGTGTCGACCTATGAACCAGGAGGTCACGGGTCCAGTTCCCGGTCAGGGCACAGGCCTGGGTTGCGAGCAAATGGCCGATGCCCAAGGCAGCCGATCCATGATTCTCTCTTCTCATTGATGTTTCTCTCTCTCTCTCCCTCTCCCTTCCTCTCCTCACGAAAAGAAAGGGAGCCTTGGGCTGCAGTCTCCGCTCATCTCCTCAGGTCTGGGTCCTCCCGGCACCGTTCCAGGGCGAGCGGGAAGGGTCCATGCAGGCTCCGCACGGACCGGAATCTCGGGCCCCTCGGCCTTTCCCTCCCCCATCTTGTCTGCCTGTCCCCGGCTTCTCTATGCAGCTCTTGGGAGCTGACGTCCAGCCCACCCCGTCCACCGGCAGCTCCCAAGCCTGCGTCTCTGCTGCTGGCCCCGTTCTTTACTCCGTTCGTCGGGGTCCACAGCTGTGTGGACGCCTCCCCCAGGCACCCCGCCAGCTCCTCAGGTTTCATGTGCCGGCACTGAGAGGCCCTCATTCATGCTGGATTTGGCACCAGGCGGCCACAACAGGTGCTTAAGGCCACCGAGAAGGAATATACTTCCGGGGAAAATGTTTAATATTCCAAAAATGCATCAAAGCAGCACCTCATTCCGTAGCGTAGTTTATTGGGACTTTGTGGGAGGGGGCACCTCACATTTGCAGCATCGGGCCCTCTAAGGTCTCAGTTCAGCGTTCCCTGCTATCTCCAACAAGAACTCACACTTGCCCGACCAGCACGGCTCCGTGGTTGAGTGTTGGCCAACGAATGCGGAGGTCACAGCTCGATTCTCGGTCAGGGCGCAGGCCTGTGCTGTGGACTCGATCCCCAGTGGTGGGTGTGCAGGAGGCAGCTAATCAATGATGCTCTCTCATCATTAATTTCTCTCTCTTTTCCTCTTCCTCTCTGAAATCAACAAAAATATATTTTTAAAAAACATATTAGATCAATAAAACAAAAACTCGCCCTTCTGGAACAGCCGTGGGAGCTGGTCACTCACAGCATCCTCTCTCATCCCCATGTTGGGTTTTTAAATCTTGACCTTCTCCTGCCCGAACCCCACATTTCCCTTCCCTCTCCACCAGCCATGTCCACTCCTGCCTCCTCACTGAGCGCACGCACACTGTCCTCAATCATGGGCCACCTCCTGGGAACACAGAGGGGAGGCATCACACTCTATGCAGACAGCTCCGGGGGCTCCCCCTTGGCTCGTCCAACCTCCCTCCCGCCTACAAATCAGGTCTCCCCAAGTCTAGCCACCTTCCACTCTGTTGTTCCTCACTCCCTCCTCACAGATCTGGGGCTCCAGCCAAACCAGACTTCTAGCCATCTGGGAACAAATGTTCCCTCTGCCCCACATAGGCTACATCCATCTCCACCTGTTGAGATCTGTCCTTGGAGGGTTAGTCAATAAATAGGACTGGGACAATTGGTTATTTGAAAGAAATGTTTTAGATTCTTCAGTTCATACCACACACCAAAATACATCCCAGCTAGACTAGAGTTCAATATCAAATAAAAATATGTAACCACATATATTTTAAAAATCAAACTAAAAATTCTGGAAAAACAAAAAACAAAACATGATTATTGAATATTATGATAGGGCAGTGGTCAGCAAACTCATTAGTCAACAGAGCCAAGTATCAACAGGACGACTGAAATTTCTTCTGAGAGCCACATTTTTTAAACTTAAACTATATAGGTAGGTACACTGTTACTAACTTAATTAGGGTCCTCCTAAGGCTCAAGAAGAGCCACACTCGAGGGGCCAGAGAGCTGCATGTGGCTCGCGAGCCGGTTTGCCCACCACTGTGATAGGGTATTCGATCCTACGTGTAAAAGGAAAGAATGAAACTTCCAAGGAAACAAAAAAGCAATTGCTGACCTTAAACCACCAGCTACTCCTCCAGCAAAGGGCTTTATTGGGGACAATAAACAGGACGTTCAGTCCAGAGACCACAGGAAAGGCACCTTCTCTGATAGAGGCGGCTGCGGGCCGAGGGGCCGCCAACAGGGATGCACCGGAGGAAACTGCGTTAGGAGGGTGGAGTGGTGGCCATCGTGCTTCCTGGAGGAGCCCCCTCCTGCTGGGCAGCGGAGAAGGCCGTGTCTCCCGGGGAGAGGAAGGGGCGCCTTCCGGTTCGGGTACCATCTCTCCCACGGGCTCTCCCGTTCCCACCTAAAGGAGGTCTGTTCATTCATCGGCACACAGTCCATCCAACTCTAAATGAGAACTTGGCTGTTAAAACCCAACTGATAAAAAGGGGGCGGGGGGGGGATAGAGCATCCTCCCCGCGTCGGGGTCCTGTGCAGGGAAGGGGCCTGGTTGACAGGAAACCGGAGGCGGAGCTGCGTGGGCATCTTCCAGGGCAGGCGGC